GCGCTTTTCCGCGGTGCTGTAGCTCTAATTGGTTCCCGAGTTAAGCGTCGGCATCTTGTAAACTGTCGATATTCGACCTGAAAATCGGCGAAAGTTGGCCTTCACCATGACCTGACCTTTGACCTCACCAAAAAGTGGCTCAAGTAATTTCGTCATTATTTTTGACGCTCTTTCGAACGAAGATGGATTATGGGGTGTAAAAAGATATGCTTGCTAATGTACAGTCCACAGCAGAAGTAATGTGCGGTTTCAGTCATGGGTATGTTCTGCTTCTGAAGCTTAGGAACGATTAGTCAGACTACAATGAAACTTTGAATGTAGCTTATATGTATCGTCAGTCGTCACCCTTGCAGCTGCAATTTTAGCTATTGACATCTTCTTTTCGATCACTCCGCATTAAACAATCGCCAGTCAAAGCCAATCGTTGAGATTGGTAAAACCCTACATTAGCGGTGGGCTGTACGCCTATGTTTTTGGATGGAAATTGAGGGTGCAGCTGCACACCGTGCACTCCCTCTTCCGCCGCCCCTGATTTCTTGCCACAAACGTCTTCAACCGCTCCCGAATGAAAGAATGTACGTTAATATTGATATATTCTCATTTTGTGGAGGTTGGGCAAAGCCTGACCACTACTGGGGCATTCCTCGACTCTACTGGGGCATTTGCCCCAGTAGTTAACATGTTAGCCGAGGCCCTGGCTTGAGATAGTTTCAGATCATTCTCGGCGCCAAAATAGCAATTTTCATATTTCCCCATTGACTTATAAGGGCTTAACGTATTATCCCTTGTATCTGAGATTTATCCCCTTGTATCTGAGAAGTTTTTAGGATTTCATCTTATTCTCCACTCAATTCTGCGTAAGATGCCGGGTTCCGTGTCCACATAGCTTAAACGTAAGGGATGCAGCGCCGCAAACGTAAATCGAGGTCCCGAATTCCCTATTCCCCAACACAGGCGGCGGCCGCTTCCTGGTCTGCGCAACATGGCGGCGCCGTTGGACACCATCTGGCGGCCGATGCGCATTCCACATTATAGAGTTCAGTGTGGTAAACAAATGACAATTGTGAAGGCCAACCAAGAACATTTAAAATGTGTCTTATATTAAAGAATATTCACTGTTTATTTTATCTTAACATGTCAAAACATTTTCTTGACACATACAAACGAAAATGGCAATGCTTCATCTAAAAGCAAATAATGAAAACAAAACAAAGACCGAAACAACAAAAGCTCTTGACTGAAGCAGAAATAAATGTTATTCAATGTGCACCAGATATCGTGATCGTGGGGGGAGTTGCTTTATTTTCTCCAAACATTTCTTGAGAAGTAAGTGTAGTATATGTAGCTCCGTAGTCCGTTCATGTAAACATTTGCAAGTATAGCATCCTCGTACCTATAACATCACATATTTTTAACCATTCATTCCCCATTCATTTGTGTGCAATTGAGTTTTGTCCGGAGAAAGCCACGCGCGTGACAAAAAGATTGGGGGTCTCCGCCCTCCGGTGCGCAGGATTCTTGTTTGAGTTTGCTGGTTGTTTTTGAAGATTCCGATGGGCCTGCTTAGCACCGGTCTGAATCTTGATCGGATGCTGAATCTTGATTGTGTGGTGGGCGTGGCACGGCACAAGCATGAGCAATGAGCATGAATCGAACTAGTTTTCGCTGGACTCTGGGAAGAAATTCCTTGGATTTCGTACCATCACAATCAGCCATCAATGATGAACTGTAATCTATTTAATGTGAAATGTTATTTAGCTTGGTGCTTATACATATTCTGCATATCATCTTTTATAACCCAATTTACGGTGACATGTTTCACGCTATGTTTAATTACTGTAGATTGAACGAGGTGCATCCAAAACGTGCAAGTCATGGCGAGTGTGCATGCCTCCTATGAAACCCTCCCGTAAATCTTCCCTCCTGTGATCCACCGTGACGAATCCTATTCTCTATTCACTTCACCCATCATCAACTACGCCTACGTCACGCTGAACCCCATCTGGCAGCCCCGCTGTGCTTCCAGATGGTAGTCTTGCGAGGCGTTCGGCGCTCCCAACAGGTTTTTCAACAATATGCTGTGGCGGTGTCTGCTGCAACTGCAAGTGCTGAGGACTGCCGACGGCTAACTGGCAGAGACGGCACGTGAGACAGTGCTCAGCGATCCGCCGCGACCGGACACCAATGCAGACACGGCACACTACAAGTGGTGAGTAGAGGGCCTTGGGCAGCTCGATGGGGATGGCGGGTGATCAAATCGTGTCATTAACCGCTGAAGAACGCTTACAGTGAGCAGTGCCGTTGGAAAAAAAACAGGTGAGTGTTTGAGGAGGCAATCTCCGGCGGGAGAAGTGTTTGCGGGTGTTCAGTTTATGTTGGTGACTGCCGACTGGTGTTGGTGTGAACGGTGAACGCTCAGTGGCGCAGCGGTAGAATGAGTCAGCAGCGAACCACCGTTCCAACCCAGTTGGTTCCATATTTGGTTCGCCGCGGTAGCGTGCTACCCTGGTAACATAAATCTGATCAATGTGTTCGTTTATGTACGCCCCAGATTCGGTAATGATTTGATCACCGACTTTTTGTTGCATTCCACTCATGGTAAAGCCAACACCACAAAAACGAGATTGGTTTGATCAAAGTTCACCGCTTGGGCTTCAATCCAATTGCCAAACAAAACAAACATTATACGGGGAGTCCAGTGTCTCGATACTTCTAATGGGATTCACATGGGACTGCCAACCGATCTCGAGATATGGTAACATACCGAAGGGATTCCCCTGCACCGTCCCTCGTGCAGGGTCATTGTCCGGTAACCAGTGTGGCCCCCGGCAGTGGCCGTCCTCGCGCTGCTTTACACCCGACACGAGGGTCATTTATGAGGCGGTGACTCCGAGGAGAGCATGGTGATAGACTCCGCTATGGCCAGTGCGATGAAGCGATTGTAGTGCGTACTACGTAGCATGGGGAGCTTACTGGGGACAACTAGAGCGGTAGCTAGCGACTTTTTCTAAGCAACAGTCTTGAAAATGGTCTCACGGGGGCTTGCTGAATGCTGAACACAACTAGGGTTACAGCATAACAACTTTTTTAGAGAACAGTCAAAAAATAGTCCAATGGGTGCGTATGAGGTGTATAACTTCCTCGCGTGCATCCAGGAACACGCTCAAGTAGCCCCTCGAGTTCATCAATCATTGCCATAATCCGGGATGATCCTTCTCAATATCAGGCCGCAGAATGTTTGAATAGTTTGCCGGTTACATAATAAGACTTTGGCTGGTTTTAGTTATGAGCACGCTATGCTAGGCTGTCAAACGATGGCCTCAGGGCTGTCGGCTCGGTGCGGGCAGTGAAGTATCAGTCGCCGTGAGTCGCGCCTCAGGCAGACTCGCTCCGTTAGGAACGGCTGGTATCCCACTGTGATAAGCATTAGGGCCTAAAGCATTGGAGCCAGAGGTTCCGCGATGAGACGAGAACTCGTAAAATACATGTTTTATAAGGAGCAAAGTATGAATTCATCAAATCAGCATTCAATCATTTTTACAGCTCCGTTTCATTTGTGTCTGTTCCCAGTGTTGTAAATTGTAATGCATCCTTCTCTGAGGACCGCCTTTCTCACATGACTCCAAATTTGTTACATGGTCTACACTTTTCATTCAGTGTCATCTGAGTTAAAAAGTGGTATTGGAATGCGTCAGAATGCTGCTATAATTATCTTCATAGCGACTGGTAGACAATGAACTGAATCAAGTATACGCTATCTACAATAGATAAATGGGGCCATCTCATTAACAACTTCACACTCTTAAACATCAGCTTTTACTCGCGTCATTAGCATCTACCCCCGATTACACCCCAATTTACTCTCTCATTCAGCCCGGCCAAACCGACCTTTCCCGTTAGAACCATTAAATGTCTTTTATCCATTTCTACGAAAACGGTCTGGCGCTATACCGTTTAACGTGGCCATCGTTTCCGCTAAGCTTGGCACCTTGGCATGACTCGGCAAGTTTAGCGGGTTTAGCGGGCCGCTTCCACAGTTCCGCTATAGTGTCCGAGGCGTGCGGATACCATGCGAGAATAGTCAGTGCGAGCGAGAAGTCTGCGCGAGCGGGAGACACGTGCTGGTGCTGGTGCTGATGGTGGTGATTGCGTTGGTGAAGGTGTTTGTGAAGGCTTGGTGACGATAGTGACGGTTTTAGTGACAAAGGCGGCGAGAATGCGATGGTGAGATGAGAAGGCGATAGACGGAGGCGAAGACGATGGAAAGACGCGTAAGATGCTGATCTATGGCGCTTAGAGGTGGTAAAGGTGGCGGAGTGTGACAACGGACGAGTGAAGCGAATAGTGATGCGATAGCGATGCGATGAGGTGACTGAGTGTGACAATAGACGAGCTAAGTGAATAGTGATGCGAGAAGAGTGACAAAACGGAGTGTCGATGTTATCTGAGTTTCCAGAAAGTGGCGGAAAAAGAGTGATGAAATGGAGGCCAATGGAGGGGTGAAGGAATAGGGGAAATAGAGTGATGGTGTGCACTGTGGCGGACAAAGTGGTGGTGTAAAACTCATTTAGTACAGTGATCACTGCCGGGAAAGGCTCGAAGACGCAAACAGAAGCGATTCTCGGCATTTTTTTTTCAATGGAGCTACGATGGTAAGAGACTATGACTGATGACACGCAGCGATTGATGCGATTTGATAGAACTTTGATAGCAATTAGCTTTGTCTCATCACAGGTCATCACAGTAAGGGAAGACAGTCAAACGTTAAACACTGGCTTCCAGACATTTAACGCCATAATAACTGTGAAACTCTGACGTAGAAACTACGTAATCTTGCACACATAATCCCCACAGCAGGGCCAGTAGGCTATCGTAGCATAGCGGCAGGTTTTTACAGAAAAGATCACCACCACTCGTCGCAGATTACGTGCAAACGGGCAAACGTTTGAGGACGTGAACAACGCCGCAAAGAAACAAAGAACCAGTCCTGTGTGGGAGGTTAGAGAGTGAGGAGGGAGTGAAGGAGTGTGGAATTGCTGAGCGAGAGAGTGAGACACCGAGTGAGCGAGTGGGTGGTGAGTTGGCGAGCGTCAGGTGAGTTAGTCAGCGAGTGGTCAGTGGATACTGGATAATGAAAGAACAAGTCCGTACTCATATTCATCGTAAGGTCATGTGAATTTTGTGACCATGCGGTTGATCTATAAAAAGGCTGTGATTTTCGAAAGATTAGATAGAAGAATCGAACGTGAGTTTGTAAACTATGATCTTTACTTCTTGATCCATACCAAAATTGAATAATTTTCGTTAAACAATCCCGACACTTTTTGTCTACCTTTGCTGCATTTCATTCGCTCTAAGTATGGTACAAATGTAATGGATGTAATCAAGGTCTGGTAAATATTTCACATACACGATCCACACAAAGGTAAGCTTTAAGAACAACGACAGTCCGTAGACGACTGACGTCATACGATTTCCCGGTAAAGCATTATGTGAGTAAGACGTTGAAAGCGAGAACGAGCAGCGTCTTAGTATGAACATATCCACCGTTTAATTCCCTAACACCGTGTGACCATAAGGCGGCGCTCTATTGCAGATAATCCTCACAAATATAGACTTCTTAGCGGACTTGTCAGTCAGCCACAACTACATTTGCTCGCAATATTGACGGCACATTTGCGGTACAGCAAAAAGGTCCACATCAACTAATGGAAGAGACTCGATAAAAAGTTGCAACGGAACTGGTATCAGCTCGTGCCAAAAATGCCGACTGGTTTTGTAAGCTGCTAAACCGGCAGTTCGACTACAGAGGTCACGGACCCTAAGTTGGCGTATGTGAGAAGGTGGGCGAAATGGATGTATGTAGATGGGCAGGATAACCCGCGTGCGTTACTGAAAGAACCGGTTACTTGTGATGACCTGTTATGAAGGTCACGCTGAAAGTCGTAGGAACGGTATTCCTTAACGGACGCTTCTGATAAGCCTCGAAAATCTACTCTGTAGTTACCAAGCTAGTGTGTAGCAATTCATTTTTAGCTACAATGGATGCGACGGAGTCTCATAATGGACTCAGGACTGACATGACTGGTCCTTTTTGATTGACCGAAAAATTGAACGACTAATATGTAGACAGAGGATCGTTAGCATGAGCTATGACATACAGCTTTATTGCTCCTACTGCTTCGTATATTTGGGCAGCCGCTAAATGATGCCAATGGGTACTAACAATGCACCAAAAATGAAAACATTACAACATTCTGCGCAGACCAAAGTAAAGGTCACCTGTAGCGCTATATACGATCATTTCCGCTCCGCAGTTGGGCCTGCCCTGCGCCTATCTCGCTGTCTGTGGGATCTCAACAGACGGTGTGGTGGCAACATATGACGCTTCCCATGAAATGTCAGCCGAGATAGGGAGGTTTTGTGGACTGACGCGGGGCAGTCGGAGGTGGTGTTGGTTCGGGGGGACACGACTGGGAGGACAGGAGGACTGGGAGGACTGGGAGGACTGGGAGGACTGCTCTGGTAGGTGTGATAGGTATCTACTGCTGATTTGGAAGGAGTTTGTGTCCGCTAGTTGGAGGATTTAAACACAGGATGACTCTACTGTTTCATCGTAAGATCATTTGATAATCCAAAGATCATTTATTCATGAAACTATGAAATACGGTCTTGTTTATCAGCCCGTTATTGTTAACCCTCGCGGGCCCAGGGGGCGTTTTTCGCCCCCCCCCCTGGCGAATATTTGCGATAACTCTCGAACGCTTAGGGATAGGAAGGCGAAACTTTCAGTACCTTTTCTTCCATCAATTTGACATCTTCTGAAGTAAAAAATTTGGACCTAGCCCCCTTGATGACGTCACAAGGTCCATTTTTCTAGACCCCTGCACGGCAAACTTCGGCGTCACAGACGCAAACTTCAAATAGCTGCTAAAAATAGAGTTTTAGAGATAAAGACAAATTACGAGCACGGCTGTGTAGCGTTTGACCTGGAGAAAAATAGAATAGAAAAATAGTTTTGGTGACCTGAGGTCAGAGGTCAGGTCAACGACCCCGAAATGTGGTTTTAGTTTTTCGCAAATAACTTCGACAAAAATGGTCCTAGAGCTACGGCAGTGGTACCATCGCATTTGCCTTGTCAAGCCGCGTCGAATGATATATATTTTGTTCGGAAAAGGTCAAGTTTCATGTTGACCTCATGTGACCTCGAATGACCTCTGGTTGACCTTGACACATTAAAGGTCGTTTATGATGAATTTGTACCCGCTGATCACGAATCTGGCATCTATTTTCCTCTGAGCCTTCATTTAGAGCTTCCGGATGGCAAAATTGTCTTATTTATTATCACTAACTTGAATCAGTGAAATAGCCTCTAGCAGGGATACTCTTCTGTGACCTTGACCTTTGAGCAGCCTTGTATCGTAAGATGAACCACAAATAGGGAACTAATAAGCCTCAAAACATTTCAAAACATCTTGGAAGTTAGCACGCAAGATGTGCGAAAAAGTGCCAAGTTTGAGGTCAATTTTGAGCGTGACCTTGACCTTGACCTTTGATTTGGAGCACATTTTCAGAATCCTCAGATTCTCTTCTTTCGTTTGACACCCAATTTTGCCGGTTTGATGCAGCTTGCCGTCCTCTAGAAGGCTTACTTTGAGATCACTACACATGTGCCGGTTTTGGCCTTTGACCTTGACCTCTGACCTTGAAAATTGACCTGAGGTCAAAAATTTTAGGTGCATTAGAATCGTCTCGTAAGGACCTTTCGTTTGGTATCGCTTTTGTTTCCGTAGCTCCCTTATTTACGGAGTTAGACAGGGGGGGGGGGCGAAAAACGCCCCCCCCGGGCTGCGGTGGTTGGGATTACCCCCCGGGCCCGGCCGGGTTAACATTGAAATTAAAATATGTAATCATGCAATGCGCAGTATTTTTGTGGCAACATATTCAACACGCTTCTTATCGTTTACATAGTTCCAGGCTCGAAATAGTCTTACGAAACACTGCCATTTAACCCGCGCCCTGCTGGGGGTCCTGGATTTCCACGCCCTGCTGGGGGGGGGGTGTTTGAACACCCCCCTTGTAACTCGGCTCCTGGGCCACGTAGCGATACGCGGAAGGCGGCGTTCGAAAGAGCGTAAAAAATAATGACGAAATCACTTCGGTCAATTTTTTGGTCAGGTCAAAGGTCAGGTCACCAGAGGTCATTGAAGGCAAAATTTCGCCGATTTCCAGGTCGAATGTCGAAAATTTCCAAGAAGCCAACGCATAACTCGGGAACCAATAGAGCTACAGCGCCGCGGAAAAGCGCATTCGATAGCCCTATTAACGCCCTTTCTGAGTAATTCTCTCAGATTTGACCTAAGGTCAACGGTTTTGCCTGCAGGGGGCAAAAACTGCAAAAATAGCCGATATTTTCGAAAACAGTTTTTCTGCAATAACTTTTGACCCAAGCCTTGTACGAGCTTTCTTTTACCGGCATCGTGTTCCTCTCGTCAAGACGCATCGAATGAACTATAACTTGACCTTGAAAGGTCAACTTGAAAATTTGACCTCAGGTCAAGGTCATGACCTGACCGGAAAGGGTCATGTTGCATATCAGTCTATCCGTATCGTCGAGCTGAACACATCTAAGGCGTTTTTATCGCTCTAGCATGCCTCTATCAAAAGTTATTTGCGAAAAACTGTTAGATACCATTCGTGACCTAAGATGACCTCAGGGCATAAACAAGGGTCACGGACACCATTTTCAAGTTCAGTGTGTCTAAACCACTTGTAATTCGGTGTTTGGGAGTGTGTATAATGTCTTTCATCCAAAAGAGGCGCATTTCAATTTTCTCCCATTGACTTATAAAGGGGAGGTCGCAAAATTGACCTGACCTTAGGTCATCGATATCAAAATTCTGAGATAAACATTTTGTACATGCTATTGCTCTTAGCAATCGCTGAAAGTTTCAAAGCGATCGGTCACTCGGTGTAGCTATGACAGACATTGAAAGTTTTTATGAGGTGAGGTCACTTCAAGTGACCTGGTGACCTGACCTTGAATGACCTTGGTCTGAAATTTTCACAACATGTGTAGAATTGATGTATGATAAGGTGTACCAAAAACGGCGGCGCTCCGCGCCGCCGTTTTTGAGATATTCGCGAAAAACCACAAGGGGGGGTGTTCAAACACCCCCCCCAGCAGGGCGCGGGTTAAGTTGTTCCTTGACATTTGTATGTCTTACTGCTATAGGTCAAGGAGCAATCATCCTATGCTTTGAGAATTGATCTTTTCAATGTATCACTGATCAGTCACGACCTCCTGCATGCCCTGTTGGTTACCATAACGGGTGATTTGTTTAGGTTTGCAATTCTGAAAGGTCACAGGCCGTCATGCCCTATGTATGCATGATGTAAACATTTTCTCAGCACTTAACCCTTAAATGTCAAGAGAAAGCTGATCTCATCTAAAAAAAGATATTTTATCATGTCCCTATTTATTAGAACGTTTATCAAATGTAGCAAGGTAGTTTGAATTAGATAATGAGGACTTCAACCTGACTATTGTAGATTCGCATTGGATGACATATCGGATTGCTGTAAAAAAAATTCAAAGTGAAAAAGAATTGTCCTAGGAATATTTCTATAAAGCGTGTACAATTTTCAGGACGGATTGATCATTCATAAATCATCGTTTCTTGGGTTTCGGTATCTTATCGCAAGCCTTATCGTAAGATCTACACTGGTCTTTACCCTTTTCATTTGGCCTCTCACCTTCTAACCGCATAATGGTAAGGCAGGGAACTTTTATTAAATGTGCAATGTGCACCGAGCAAAATCCGGGACCTCATGGCAATTAACCTTGAGGTGTTCATTTACATGTGGGTTATTGCTGTGGCATGACAGCCAGCCGGTCAACAAATCGCATTGAACAGCGCCATAAATTCTAAAAGTCGCGCCACCCCGCTGAGCCTTAATAAAATACGTCACTTTCAATGCTAGCCAAGGTAAACGATGGAAATGGCCGATTTTTGCAATCAATGAGAACCTGGTTAGTGGTTTATTGTCTGCTTGAGGCACTGCTGAAGGTTATCGTTTATTCAGTCATCCAGCAAAACGTTTTCTCACATGTCTGAATTTCTGCTGTGGATTTCTCACGCGATATGGGAGTGTCTCCAGGGCGAATCGCCCGAGTCTCGATTTAACGGAGACCATGCCCGTTTTATATCGTTCCGTTTGACCCATGTAGAACGGCATTGCGCCCGAAGACGGGACGATTTTGTCCAGGTTTTGTCCGGGTAGTTTGGGTTCACTGATGCGTAACGCTGGAGCAGTTTGGGCGATGGGTCTTCGTAAAAAGATAACAGGACTTTTACGACCGCTAGCAAAAAGGTCCACTGGTAATAATGGGATGCTTAGTCTATGCCGAAGCCTCTGGTCATGTCAGAGAATGGAGTTCAGTTATACCACTCAGCTGCGGGGTAGCTAAAACGTCCTATAGACCCATAGCTTCGGCTACATACTTTACTCGTACACCTTACACTCACACCGATTGTCGAAGTAGTTAGAAAAGTTCGGTTCTTCTGGCTCATTGGGCGATCATAGTAATTACCTTGTCATGCGATATAATATCGTCTACCATGTTACTTACAAGGTGATCGGTCCAATGACACCGAAAACCGAAAGCAGCAAGAAGCAGGTAAACCCCAGCGACAAACCGCAAAACCTCACAGAGAAATACCTCGTCGGACTCCTGCACAACGTATAGCCACGCCCACCACAAAACACCATTAAATTTCATATCCCACGCCACCAGGCACCGTTAGCTCCATCTCTACAGCAACTTTACCTGACTGTGTGACGATTTTACCGCAGCATGCTCACACCGAGAAACTAACGAGTAACGCCTGAAAAGGCGTGACGCCCATGGTGATTTGACGTCACATTTCGTGACGAATGTGACGCAACCCGTGCAGAAATCGAGACGGAGGCTGCCGCGTAACGTGGCATCACCGATATTAGGTAGTTACTCTCGCTTTTGCCGAAAGCGCAATGGAAACATGAATTGTTATAGCTTTGCCTCAGGGTAAATGAGGTTTTGTGAGCAAGGGATGGGCATTGGACTAGTCAAGGCTCTGCTTTTCCTAAACTGGATATGCCGTATATGTGTGATCAAATATCAGTGTATTTACGTAATACGTTTGTTCATTGCCTGAATAATTGGGGCAAATCATACATAGATATAGTTCAGTCTAAGCATTAAATTCCTCAGCCCAGCACTCATTTAATCATGATCTAGGCATTCACTACACGACAATGCCGTTTTATATTACGTTCCTCACATTGTTAGCTGCCTAGCGGAAATTTAATAAGCGGAAAACGTATACTCTCCCTCACATTATGCGTATGCACCGTCTACCCTTATCACATATCGACCGTTTCCCCATTTTTTATTTCACAGTTTCTGGTGTCGCCGGGAGATGGCACGACTATCGGCGCTACTGCTACTGGCCGTGACCTTGACCGTCGGGTCAAGGTCACACGCCGCCGACCAGAAGCTCTACAGGATTGGAGTCGGCATTGGGGACATCACCGGGCCGGCGGCAGAGATTATCATGGTTAGTGCTCGAATTGCAAAAGTAGTGTGCGATCTAGCTGTCCAACTTTGCGGCGCATTTAAATTTAGTAAATGTTTCTCCGTGCTCTAACTATTTCATACCGACTATTTTGACATCGGGGCCGTGTTTCCCGGCCCGGCGCTGCAGCGCGCCGCGCTGTACTGCTCTATTGGTGCGGCGTTTGAGACGCATTCAGCTCGACGCTTCAGCGTTGCGACTACCTCCGTCCGACTTTGTTGATGTTTCTATGGAAACCCAATGCACCGCTAGGGCAGCGAGCTGCAGCGTAGTGCCGTGAAACAAGGCCCGGGTATACTGATGCCGATGCGTTCCCGTAGGCTGCTGTCGTGTTTTAGTTTATACGTATTCTCGGTTGACGTTCATAGGTGCATGTATATTTTGACGTCATTTGATGCCGCTAAGGCCGTAAGTCATGCATGTCAATTGCGTACAGACGACGTTTCCTAAGCGAGATCGCATGCCTCGATCGTTTCAGCCTATCGCATGCAAATCTATCCCTTTATCAGAATAATGGCGCAGAACGGGCGATATTCCACCTTCTTGATTCCACCAGGCACCACCGATGCCGCCTTTGATGACGTTGCGTCATAAATGAGCTAGAAAACGTGCTGTTTCTGGCGGTACACCTTCCTTCTTTCGTATCCCATTCCTTCCATGTTGGTGAGCTATGTCGTCAGAATCCGGAAAACGCTGAATTGATACAAGGAATGAAGGATAATCTTTGCCTTTTGAGGCAATGGAATGAGGGATGAGTCAATTTATGCCATGATAAAACATGAATGCTGGCGATGTTCTCGAATGAAGATGTCGTCTGCATACAAAACAGATTCTCTTTCGTTTTCCGTTGTGCCTGGGTGGTTCAGCAGTTTCAAAGCTATGCTAATCCTACTGAAATCGAATGTTGATTTACCCGATATCATGCCAATCTCTCTTTCTTTACGATTGAAGCATTGCTACTGGCGGCAGAACAAGGTTACACAGTATACTGCGATCATTCGCGTATTTAGTCCACAATTTACCAATACGTTCTATGTACGAAGGAAACTAGACTATTTACTTGTGCTATGACTGAGGACAGAAACGAGAACAATAGGACCCGCACACAACTGTTTTCTGTGAGTGATACCAACTTATCGAAATCGAGTATCGAAAGTGTTGGCTCGGATTGTTTGGCCCGGTATCCGTTCAGTTCCACTTTTACCCAGACTGTGTGATTGTTTCTGGTGTTGTGCTCAATGAGCTGTGACTGGGCAGAAGTATAGTCGGAACGGCTAAATGCCAAGTTCATGGGGGAAGGTGCCATACAAGCTATTAGAAAGTTGCAATAGTTTTTTTTTGCGTTTTTTAAAACATATTTTTGTGGCACTATAACACAACTTTTAATTAGGGTGCATGAGGAGATCTGATGGACATTTTTAAGGATGTTCGATATCATTTAAGCCACGCCTTTATCAAAATGAACCACCTTACATTGATTTCATCACTTATTATTCGGCGTATAATCAGTTTAATTAGGAGCATCATCACATCGCAATTGAAAATATCATCAAACAATATAAACGCAGAACACTGCAGTATCACAATGTAACTAAATCTCATAAAAAGATGATACGCTTTATTGTTCAACACTTTTCTCTCATGGTAAAACATGGCTTTTGTATCTCATGCATCGCTTGCGAGATTTTATGCCACTATTGTTCTATAGTTCGTTTTTCTAAGTTCGACCCTCACTGTAAACATCTTTTTGAACATAGCACGAGAATTGCTAGCTGAATTACTTAGAAAACTGGCTAGCGCACATTGTACTGGAGACATGAATAATATTTTCCAAATAAGATTTTTAACACCGATGATATACCGTTCTGTTAAACGCCCTGCGATCTATTGATCAGTTCATTTATAATTTCTGACCAGACGTCTATCCCTGTGGGGTTGTATATAAAGGCAAATACGAGCTAGCAGTCTGGAAAATAAGAGGCAGGGAGAAATAATTTTGAGTAAAATTAATCGTCTGTGAAATCAATGTGCGTCAGTCAGTTTTCTCAGTAATTCAGCCAGCGATTCTCGTGCTGTGTTCAAAGAGACGATTACAGTGAGGGTCGAACTTAAGAAAAACGAACTATAGCCTCGAACTGTGAATAAAAACACAAAGCGGAATCGGAATCAGATAGAGTTCAGGAGCCCATCAGTAGTGTCCACGTGGCGTGGGACAATTTTCGGTAGAAAGTCACCGGTCCATGCGTGTAATTCTAGCCCACCCTTGGCTTTCTCTTGTCACCGGCGCAGGCCCTACCCGGGGGTTTGTCTCGACTCATGCGATACGCTAGCAAGTAGCAAGGCTCATAACGCATTGCTTCTGTTGTAGGCTGTAGTTGGTTTAGGGAGATGATGTTCACAGCTTGCGAAAGCAAGTGTGATTTTTACTGTCCTCGTATTTAAAGTTTTGATAGAATGTCCTCCACACAAGAAAAGAAAAGATGAACATAAGCATTTTAAACGTTTGTCGGAGTGGTTCCTTCATCAAATTCAGATTGATAAGGGGCGTGCTTGACTATAAATCAACTTATCATGAGTTGAACCGGGTTATTTTGCATAACATAGGACAAAATGTGCTCCGAAGGAAATAAATACGAACATTTTTAACACTTTTGTTTGCAGTGTTTAGTTAGTGCAAATAAATGGTTATTATCGTATTATGGATACGAGGACTGACTAGTGACTGTCGCAAAAATATAGGCAACGCCCCATATCAGGCCCATGTTCCGCCCATGTCACGCCCACATCTGCAAAGGTCATCATACTTGGATGCCCGATTAACCCCAGCCACTCGTTAGTCGCCTTCAACGTAAATCAGCACCCATCTCTATAGAGCTAGATGAACCGAACAATGACTGGTGACCGCCAAACCAGCTGTTAGACCAGACAGACCGGTCTGACAGACCCGACAGACCGGCCTGACAGACCCGACAGACCGGCCGACTCCGGCACCGGTGTCATCGCTCGCAAATCAGGTCAGGATATACATTCAGCGAAGATACAGTGAGATACTGGGTGCATAATGTCTGAGACATTTACGCTGAAGTTGCAGGAATGGTTGGGATGATATTCATGCTCGTTTAAAACGCTTGTGATGTAGTTAATTAAACTAGATGTAGTTGATTAAACTAGATGTAGGTACTCGTAGTACACGACTCGCAGTATAGGCAAATAAAACGTCAGACCAGACGTTTAATTTAAATGAGGTAACTCGCATGCAGGAATGAGAACAGTAAAACGAACTGAGACCGAAGGCCTAGTTTCATCTCGCTCTCAAAGTGTTGTGTTGCATATTTAACAGTCCCGTTCTTGCTCACGACATTGTGGAGGTATTGTGTAGTCACGCCTGGGAGTTACAGCTACTAAAATAAAACAGTTGATCTTGGTACCGAACTCTCACAAAACCCCGCAAAACTAACCTCGTTGCCTGTCATCACGACATCTCTAGGTATATAATTTCTTAAAATAAAAATTCAATCCAGTATTTAAATCTTTCACTGGGAAAGTCGTTATGCTCTATCTATACCCATCCACAGACAGGCTACGAGTGACATTGTTACACAGTAGTTCTCCAGCCCTTCGATATAATCTACTCCATGGTGTGTCGTTTCGGGAACTAGCGAATGAAGTTTAGTACCGCCGTTCACCGGTGGATGGCGCTAGCTGGTAGTTTCGGCGAAAACTCCGTCTGAGATGTTTGAAGGCTTCCCTTAATCCCTTGTTCAAACATGGACCCCGTCAGCCCCGGCAGAGGTATTTGTCCAGTGTACACCGCACGCACCGCACCTGAGGACGGGTCAGCTGATGGAGGGGAGTCACTATTGTGGCCTGTGGAATGCCGCGCCGGTCGGGGGACGGGGTCGGGAGGAGGGGAGGGGGAGGCTGAGCGCCGTTCTTGCGGTGACGGGCTGGCTTGTCGCCTGGCTACGCTCAGTCGGCGAGGCGCTGCGCATGACCCGCGCAGCTGTGAGTCCATGGACAATTTGCCCGTTCGTAAGCACGAGCGGCTAGAATACTGCTGGTGCAGATTTTCAGCATAGGCACGATGATACGGTACGGGAAAACGATGCATCGTTAACATTGACATTTGAACTTGTAGCGGTTGCCAAAAGACGTATGGATAGAAATAATGGGGGAACATTAAACCGTTTAATTGGGTGACGTTCATTTCTCAGAGCTTTACCTCTACCTACTCACTAAAACGTGCGCTATAGTCGGATAGGTATAGCTGTCATCATCGTACCTATTTATTCAGCGTCGCTTGTGCGACGCGACGACAAACAAAACACCAATAACACGCGAGTAGCCTAAGTAGGCGGCGAGCTGCCCTGCAGTTACCCTGGAGGGCAACTTGCAAACTGTCCAGTGTCCACTTTCCGTGTCCACGATGCCATCCGGCATGCGTGCGACACGCACACGGTCCGATTCCATAGGATACCGGCTGCGAGCTCCATCACTGCACACAAGCTGTTATGATACATATTACATAGTACTAGAGGGACAGCATTACGCGCAGCGTAATAAATCAATTTTCATTAAAATCGGCCCAGTAGCGGCCGAGTTATTGCAAGAATAAATTTGTTGACTCCTCTTGGCCGGCGGTGCCCTGCGCCGGTATTCATTGCCAAACGTCAGTGACCTTCCGGCTCTGATTTCGGTCAGTTTTGCAAGCGAAGAAACTGAGCCTACGGCACGTGCCGTCTGCTCGAAGCCGGCCGCGGCCAAAATCCCGCAGAGATGCGCCCGCCACGTGCAAACCGCCGAGCGCACCCCCACCAAAATTTTATACGACAAATGGTTGCACGCGCCCGACTTGCAAGAATAAATTTGGTGAATCCTTGTGGCGGGCGGTGCCCTGCGCCGGTATTCGTTGCCAAAGGTCAATAACCTGCCGTCTCTGATTTCGCTCAGTTTTGCAAGCGAAGAAACTGAGCCTAAGGCAC